ATGCAAGTGAAGTGTTGGTATTCTTGTTGATGAGCACCCCTAGTTACTTGCCCACGATATAGGAAGGGGGCTAAATAGCAAAGACATATAACCCTCGCAGAGTCCCTCTGCAATTTAGTTACGACAGGGGGGTACCCTCGCAATACATCTTTGTGGAGGGCGAGAACTCTTACAAGAGCAGCTTCACGCGGTTTGTAGCAAAGCACATTGGGCTACTTCGCGAAGGAATTGGCAGTGTCTTCCTGCCGGGAAGAGGCAGGGTCCCGAGATGTACAAAGACGGCCCGCTCATTATGGGCTATTGAGCTAGCGAGGTGGAAAGATTTTTGTCAGAGTCCCGCCTATCGCGCGAAGGCGTTGGTGATCTATTCGAGGGACCACTCACTAAGGCCTCCAATAGCATTTGAGAGGGGGGACCTCTGCAGCTTCGCGCCTGACCCTGCGCCCATTGCGACACAACAAGGGGAATCATCTCAATCTGTCGCGGCGACCACTAATCCTACCGTCAAGGCGACCCCAGCGCCTGTCCATAGGCATAAAATGAGGGTAACTTCACGCGCAAACCTTGCCCCCCCCCCCCCCCCCAGCAAACGCGCAACTGTAAGTGTTGCAGAGCCTGCTATTGCTAGCGTGGGGGAGGAGAATGTAAGGCCTCCAGCGCCAAGCACATCTCGACCCACGGCCTCCGCGAGCAAAATCCCACTCGTGGATGAACCAACTGAGAGTGAGGATACCACTACTTCTGAAGATGATGGCGAACAGCCTCTCATTGGAGAGCATGGCCCGATGGCTGCAGCCTTTGGGACAGGGCAAGGAGGATCGCGTAGGCTTCACCGGGTGCGAGATGGTGGAATTGACACCACTGTCCATGATATAAGCTCAGGCGAGGTACTAGCTTCTGACAATGAATTTTTAAATTTACCTACTTTTGATTTTATGAAAGCCTTAGGTGAGAGTGCCCTATATTGTGATGGTCAGGAGGACACTTCAATGGGTGTGAGAGAGGAGGAAATGGAAGAGCTCGCGCTAGATGTCTCGCCTCTTATCACCATTCGAGACGTGCCTGTTCGTACGCACGCCGCTGAGGTAGCCGAGATGATGCGCGGTTATGTAAGTGCTACCGCACCACCGCAAGCGAGCGCCCACGATGCCGAGGACACAATACTTCCCCAAGAGGAGGAGGATATGTCTCAAGACGCTGCCCCAGTGAGGGCTGAGCATGGGTCAGAATCCCAAAACCCTGAGGTGACAAGTCATTCAGGCGATGTTGCAGGTGGGTCACCCAGGGGCGAGAATGTAAAAGCGGCCCCGCGAGCCAACACAGATACAATTTCGAGCTCGCTTGTGGATGTGCGAGAGCCCTCTCCATCGAGAGATGAACAGATGGGGGTGAACCTCGCTTCCGGAATGGGCGAGGCCTCTGAGCACGATCCCCAAGTCTCACCACAGGAGACAGAATAGGCCCCTCTAGTAAGCGAGGAGGCGTTACAAGAGGAAAGGGTTCAAACCTCTCCTTTGACAGAGTTGCAACCTTCACCAGTCCTCGCGATGCCACAACCACAGATTACCGCACTGAATGCCACGGCTACCCCAGCGAGGCAGTCTATAACTCCCATTGTTGAGCAATCCACAGCAGAAAGGACTCCTCGCCCTCTTGGCAAGCCAACCTTGGGGGTTGAGCAATACGCCTAGAGTGACACAGGGTCACAAGCTGCTAGCGCGGAGGCCGAGTGAATGGGTATGCCATTCCCTCGCACCTATATACAATTCCTCGAGGCAACCCTTGCACATCATCCCGAGGTTGTGCAATTTTAATCATTGCGCCATGCATATGTACGGCACTCAATGTATCTATGCCTTGGGAAAATTTTAGAGGTTTTTGCAGAAATCGAGCAAGACACGACCAATGAAAACCTCATCCAGGAGGCTACACTCCTATTGGATAGTGTTCAGAGGCTTGAGGTTCCGGTTTCATGGCTGCGAAGACGATTGTTTGTGGCTGAGAAGTGCTTGCAGCAGCGACTGCTCGCACCACGCCTTCAAGAAGTACAGGCACGTATTGGCAAATTAGAGGGGGAGCTCGCACAAGAGCGAGAGAGCTTGGAAGTATTGACAGCGTATTCACGGGAGCTCGATGACGATTACTCGCTGCTGTCATCATATAGGGATTAGGCTTGTGGATTTCTCTTTTTGATTATTGATGTAAATGTGTCAAGGACTCCATAATTGTAATCGAACAAGCCTGAATGAAAAGGAAAATTGTGATTATTCAACTCTTGGTTTTTTTTTTTTTTTGAAGAACTTGAGTTATGTGTGGCTGCTGGCCCCTCGATCAGCCATCATTGTGGTAGCCATTGCGGTGGCGATGTGGTGGCAGCTAGGGACAATTCCAGAAAGAACTTTCTCAATTTAGTTAACATTGTGTGATTTGTAGTGTTTTACTATGGTTGTGGAATTTAGGTTCTATTTGTTTCAGGTAAAATATTTTGTTCGAAAATTATTTTCTTTTTAAGATAAAATATATATTTTTTATTTTTATTTTAGGGTATTTGGCAAGGTTGAACGTGTAAAGTAATTTGTCGAAAATTGATGAGAAATAAATGTTAACATTTATTAGAAAGTGTTTTGGATATTTAATCCATTAAATAAAGGTTATAAAATCTCCTGAATTTTGCAATTATATATATATATATATATATATATATATAGATAAATAAAAATTATATATATCCAATATAAAATCATAAGATGGAAGTTACTAAAAATTAGGTATCAATTAGCTAAATAAATTTGTTAAGAAAAATTCTTTTTAAAAAAAAAAAATGAAAAAGTGAATCATTAATGATGTGGAAAAGAAAACGATATTAGAAAAATGAGATCAAATCTCTCAAAAATAAAATAAAAATTATAAAAATAGGTGATAGATTCGTACCACTCAATTCAATGACCCTACGAATTACTCAATAGGCCAACATCAACTAACATGATTAATTTTTAGATTTTTAAAGTTATTTATATATCAAGAAAAGTGAAGGTTTCGGGTATATATACACACACAAATATATACACTTATAAAAAGTCAGTAAAATAAGTATTTAACTTTGACTTCTCATACACATTCAACAATTGGATTATAAGTGTATTGTGTTAGTCGTTTTTTATATTTTGGAGGAAGACATAAATGATTTTGCGAAAAGATAAAGAGATTATACACGTTGTGTTTGATACTGTGATAGTTTAGAAAGGAACAATGAACAAACTTAAAAATGGTCATTTAGAAATAAATTTTATCTCCAACATTTCTGTGTTTTAAATTGAATATATACAATTATAGAGTACTATTAAAAAAAAAAAAAAAAAAGGAAAAAAAAAAAAGAAAAAGAAAACGTAGTCCCCTGAGGACTCTGAATAAATTAAGGCTCCTTCACAAATGTTAGCAAAGTGTAGAAAATGTTGATTTCAATTTAGTACATCTTGTTCTGATACATCTAATTTACTTCAATGATGTTCTTCTTCCAAGTTAAAGTAGTAATGTGACAGCCTGGATTTTAAGCCTTCTAATCATGTTTAGTTGCTCTTAAACGTGCTTAATGGTTCTTAATTGTGTTTAGTAACTCTTAATCACCATTAGTGACCTTTAATCATAATTAGTGACATTAGGTATAAAGTATGATTTATTAAAGTTACGGGAGATTTTTTTTATGTAATCGAGGATTACTAATGTTCTAATTTTTGTGTCTTACAAGTAACTTATGCATTTAGTCAAATTGGGATTGGGACGAAATATGAGTGTGTTTAATCTCGATTACAGAATACTTCTTAGTAAGGCATTGTTTGATGGTAATCCTATCAGATTCAATTGGAAATTATTTGGTTGAGAACGTCACACAAGTATAATAGATAATGCAATTTAGTTTGGAGGGATGCAGTAGTACCTTCCAGTAGTCATACCTTCCTGTTAAAGCTATGCTGTATGCTTTCATCTTAGTTTTTTTTAGGTTCTTAATTCAGTTAGTCGTCACTTCTTTTTGAAAAATTCGTAGTTCTTATTTCATATTATTGTGCTGAAATCTGTGTTGATGCGATTGCTACATCTTCACTTTTCGTTTTTCGTCGCAGGAATTAGTGAAAGCAGACGTATCAGAGAGATCTCAAAGCAGCAGCTGATTTTGGTCATCAGAAAGAGAGTCCGGAGTACCAGCCACACCTTTGTCTGTGTCTGTGTAGATCAGGTGCAGATTACAGTTTCATCAGTAAAAGTTGCCTTATTCCCCAATGGTTATTGCATATTAAAATTTTACAAAATTCAATTAGCCTTGTTTGAAAACTGATCACAAACACCTAAAAATTATTCTTCACAACCCTTTTGACAAGCTTGTAGCCATCCCTGTTTCCATAATGTAAGCTACCATTTCTTTCATAATGCTTGTGGATTCACCTCATAGCTCTTTTTGTACTTCCTCACTTGTCCGGAGATATGATAAAAGTGAAGTTACAAATTAGATTTAAGTTGAGCAAAAAAGGAATTAAACCTGCTTCAGACTCCGTTAATTTCTGATCTGCAATACAAGAAAGAAGCTCACCTCTCACACCTCTATATAGGTAATTAGGTATGGAAGCAAAGCCATTATATATATGAACAGGGACAGACCGATAGAGTACTGAAAACAATGAGGAGAAGAGGATAAGAAACAAACAGCCCAACAGATGGAATAATAAATACATATTGTCTTTCACTTACCTCTGTGTATTGTTTCCGGACCTCATAGCTGTTCGTTTTGGGATCTTCCAGAGGCCTAATATTCTTTTGATACTATGCTCTTCACCTATGTTTAATTATTCCACCAAGTTTCCAATATGAACCTGAATTGATAAATAAAAAGAAAAGATAATGAGCAAGTGATCATGGAAAGGTAAGCCACAATGATGGAATAATCTGAGCACTGGAAAAACATGGTACTGCATACAATCTGTAGAACAAGAAGGGGAACCAAACCAGGCTCAATGGAAATCTTCATCATAATCATCAGAAATAATATGTGTTTTTGGCAGATGCGGAACTTTTTCCAGCGATGAGCACCACCTGATGTCCAGTTCCTCCAAGGCTTCCAAAGCCTCAAGGCCCTCAATCTCACGTAAGCTCGTGCATTCACTGAGCAGCAAGTGTCTCAACATTTTCAAGTTTGATAGATTCGGCATTCTTACCATGGATGAGCAATACGACAGATTCAAATATTCCAATGATACCAATATATGTAGTCCTTCGATCTTATTGAGATTCTTGCAACTAATAACTTCAAATTTTTTTAACTTGTTTAAGTTGGACTGATCTAGTTCATTTTCAGGGTGCAACATTTTCAAGTTTGATAAATTTGAGCAACCCGACAAATCCAAACATTCCAATGATACCAATAAATGTAGTCCTTCGATCTTATTGAGATTCCAGCATTCAACAACTTCAAATCTTTTTAACTTGTTTAAGTTGGACCGATCTGGTTTATTTTCAGGGTGTCTGTACCCACTCATCTCTGAAGATGCTAGAGGTGCCGAACATTCAAGCAGATCAAGTTCAACTATTTTAAAGCACCGACGCATACAAAAACTTGCCAGCGATACTAGATTTCCAAGTCCTTGAATCTCTGTCAGCTTATCACACTCATATATTCTCAAACTTTCCAGCAATTCTAGATTTCCAAGTCCTTCAATCTGTGTCAGTTTAATGCATTTTTCTATTCTCAAGCTCGTCAATGATTGTAGTTTCCCAAGCCCTTGAATCTTTGTCAGCTCCTGGCACTCATGAAGTTGCAATTCCGACAAGAGCTTCAAATTTGACAGATCTGGTAATATTTCCAATGACGGACCATAAACAATATATAATCGAACCAGATTGGGAGGTAAACCCAGTATGCATTGAAGTTTACAGCATGATTGTAGATTGAGGAATTTGAGCTGAGAAAGGGCATCAATCTCTTTCGGTAGGGTCATAATGTTGCTATGTCCAAAGTCCAACCTCTGCAATTTGGATAATTCGACAATATCACTGAAAATTATCGGATTCATGTTGTCAGGAATCTGAAAACACCACAAGACTTGCAGATTAACCAGATTTGCAAGATTAGGGGTAACATGAAAACTCCCCAACTCTACACGCAGAACTTGTAAACTTGAGGGAAGCTCTGGCAGGGCTTCCAGATCATCGCATTCTAAGTCAAGGGTATGAATGCTTGTTGGTAGGCTTCGAATTCCTGTAGAATAAAAGCTGCTTAAGTATCTCAAACATGATAATCTCCCAATGCAACTTGGAATTGTTACCTGTCAAATAAGAATGACGTGCATCTATAATTTTCAGCTTCTTTAACATCCTAATTTCATCAGGTAGCTCCCGTATTTCAGTGTATGAAATGTCAAGCACTTTTAAGTTACTTGCCATCTGTTAACAAGATACATAAAAATATAGAAACAATCATACATGCTCCAATACGAATGTATGTATATATGTATGTAATGGGAGACGAGAAATGAATTGAGATTATGGGAGTGTGAGATTTTAAAATGTATGTAGTATATACCTTAATTTGACTCCAACCCTTCCAGTTCTCTGGGATCCTACTACCGCTTAGATCAAGTATCACTAGTTTCTTCATATGAAAATTGGTTGCTTCAAAATGCAGAGGGGAATTTTGCCAACAAAGCCATCTTAAGTTTAACAAGCGATGCTTGAAATCCCCAACAACAACTTCAGCTTCATTTATTTGGAGATACCGCAGTTTAGATCGTTCCGCGAATTGGTCATGCTCACACGTCTTTCCAGTAGCATCAAGATTTAAGAGTTGGACCTTTTCAGTTACCTGTCAATGAAAAAATCATAAAAATAAGTAAACAAATAAAAGAAACGATTTGCCCCATGCTAAAAATGGAATTATTAATATTAGATATCAATTATTATTCTTATTTTAAAAAAAAAAAATACCCATTTTTAATGACTTCTCAGAAACAATTATTGGTGTTTACAAATAATTTTTACTTTTATATATAAAAAAAAGGTCATTTTTTTGAGTTAAGATTGGGTTAGATTCAGGTTGATTGATTCAAACATTCAGAACTCCTTTTTTTCTTTCTTCTTCTTCAAATTCTTCTTCATTTTTTATTTTTATTCTTTTTTCATTTAAAACAATTCTAAATAACTTGAAATAATTGAAAGATCATGCATAACGTTGTAACCTACAACTTAATTACAAATGCTACACCAATCTAATTGTACAACATGCCAACTTTCCGTTGTAACCGGTGTACTAGCTAGTAACAAGAACATCAAAATTCTTTTCTTAACCCCCAAAAAGAAAATGATAGTTTTGGTCAGATGAGAATGAGAATGAGATGAGTTAAAACTTTTGACTTTTATTTTTATTTTTTATTAGATAAATAATCACCTCACAACTTTAAATAATTTAAATTGAGTTCCATTTTCAATTTAAATCCGAGTTGACAGTTGTCCAAGCCCATCATAGATGATGCTGGCAAATTCAAGTTGGTCGGTCAACAACTTAGCTCCCTAATTGGAACCTATGTGGATGCTACCATGAATATTATTTAGAGCATGTGTATTATGAGAAGACATGAAAGAGACTTAAGAAAACATTAATCAGCGCAAAAAATTTAGTGCTGTAAATTATTACCATGCATTCCTCAAATACAGCCGAGGCTTCTTGTAGATCCCACAACCTGCTGCGCAATTCCGGATTTTCAAAATCTTCTTGACGGACAATTTCCCTACCAAGATCTCTTAGTTGATCATGCATTCTCAATACATTATCATTTTCAAGTTTTACTAGAGACATGAGACAAAGGACATTAATTTCTGTCTCCGGAAAATAACTGCAGTCATCCCACATGTAAAATGGATATGTTTTATCCATCCCAATAAAAAGACATGCAATATCAAGAAATATCTGTTTTTGCTCATGGGTTAATACATCATAACTTACTCTCAATTTTTCCTGAACTTTATGATTTGGTATTTTCTTCAACTTCTTCGATGTATCTTCCCATACTGTTTTTGGCTTGTCAGATAGAAATGAACCTATAACCTCAAGAGCTAGAGGAAGCCCTGCAGTAACTGATACCACCTCTCTAGAGATACTATCAAAGTCCATTGGAGGAAACTTTTTCCGAAAAGCATGAATGCTGAGAAGTTGAAGAGATTGGTCTGGGTTCATAAATGGAGGTTCATAAGTCTCATCCACTTCAAGAATATTTAAAACATGCTTGTTTCTAGTTGTAACTATGATCCTAGTTCCCGGACCAAACCAATGACGATTTCCCACAAGCCAATCAAATTGAGACTTTTCATCCACATCGTCCAGAACAATGAAAACTTTCTTTTTGAGAAATCGACATTTGATAGCGTTGATTCCACCATTAACATTAGTAATGGGAGGGTGCGGTTTAAGAGTGTCATTGAGAAGCTGATTCTGCAAATCAACAATACCTTTATCTTTGTATTGTTTGACATTTTCCCGAACATCTGCAAGGAAGCTACAACAATTTTTAAAGTCTTGGAGGAGGTTGTTGTAGATGGACTTGGCAATAGTTGTCTTGCCAATACCACCCATCCCAAGGATACCAACAATCCTTACATCATTTGAACCAACATTTAATAATCTCATCATTTCATTCAGATGATCATCCATCATAACTAAGTAGTCACTTGTAAACACGCATTTTTTCTTCAGGTTCAACGACACTGTTTGAACAATAGTTTTTACTAATTCCCCTTGATGCCTGATTAATGTCATGATGAAAATGAAAAATAATTAGTGACCGAGACGTAAACAAGCAGCTAAAATAATGATTGATTTGTTCTACCTTAGGGACGAGTAGTTGACTCATGAAACCAACATTTATCTTTTCTTCTTATAATTTTGTGTTTGTCCCTCTAATTTGATAGTTTTTATTGGATTCCAATGCTATTATAAAGTTCCTCTATATATATATATATATATATGCAAATTAAGAATTTAACATAAGGGGGTTATTAGCAGGAAGGGAGTAACATACCCATCAGCTTCTTTGTTGACATGCCAACCCTTGAGTTCTCCAACCTGTTTGAGTGCCTCTTTCCATTTCATAACAGTGCATTCATCAAAACACCTCTCGTGCTTGCGAAAGGCTTCCTCGTAACTCCCAGATTGATGCCTCACATCCGATGGTTCAACATCATAGAAGATTGGCAGAATCAACTGTCCAGTGCTTCTCTTGCAATCCACCATCTGAGCCAGCTCGCGGAGGCACCATTTACTGGAAGCATAGTTGTTGGAGAAGATGGGGATGGAGATACTGGACTCCCTGATTGCTTCGAGGAGCTCAGGGCCGATCTCTTCTCCTTTGCGAAGCTCATTGTCATCCCGAAAGGTGCGAACACCTGCGTCATTGAGATTGGTATATAGAAAATCTGTGAACGTGCGGCGAGTGTCTGGCCCTCTAAAACTCAAAAATACTTCGTATTCGCCTCCTGGAACAGGAACGGACGTGGCTGAAGCATCAGACTCCATTTCGGATATAATCCTCCTCCTCTTACTTGGACCAGCAGCCTCACTGTCCATTTCAGATATAATCTCCTGTGTCTTTTCTGATCGATCAGAAACGCAATATTGTGGAAGATAAATCTTGTACGAGTATTAACAACCCCCTATGATACCAAACTCAAATCTCTCAAACACCCAATTTATATTTGCAAATCTCTCTCGATCGATCGATGATGTTTGGGTAATGGATCTGCAAATTCTCTATCTGGAATTGGAAAATGATAGGCTCAACACAACCCATACACGCAAATTAACTTACCCAGTGAAGTCAACAGGACAACATATCTTTCGGCTAAAGAGGCAGCTTTTTCCTAGAAATTTCCAACATCAAGAAATTTCCTCACCATTTCAAGATACAATGTACCTCATACTTATTGTCAAGGTATTTACAATCTTAGAAAAATTACATACATATAAAAGTAATATTGTTGGACTCAAATTACAAACCACTGGCGTCAGCAGAACCCATATTACAAAAACATGGACTTTAGTTTCAGAAAATTGTAACCAGGTCCAACTTCAAATAAATTTTTAATTAGGAAAAGAAATGGCAAATGAATAACTCGTGTCTCCTAACCGTTAGAGTACGATAAAATAAACCCAATAATTTTAATTAGTTTATGCAGCAAGTTAAATCAATTATAAATTAAAACAAATTTAAAATATATAAAACATCCCAACTAATTTATATTATTTAATAACTTGAATAATTGAAATGTAGACCATCTTTATTAACATCAAACATTGGTGACTCTACTCTACACCAAAGTGCATTTTTAATAGTCTGCTAACAAAAACAAACCACAAACTTATTCTCTAAGTACTAATAAAATTAAACATTTAATTACAAGTTTCACTGCCAAACCCATCTACAATAATTACATCTAATGCAAAAAGACTCTCTCTTACTTATTTCCCTATACAAAACTCAAAACTCTGTACCCAGCCAGTGGCCATATCAGCATAATATATATATTATATGTGACAATTTCAGTTTAATTTCTTTAATATCATCTTCAAGCTTTTTAAGTATTATATTCCTATTTTCTTTCTTGATCAGAGTATATATCTTCTATAATTTCATGATGAGGTACCTTGATGCTTTATAAGCATTTTCATGTCAATTAGACGTAGCCTTGTGGGTATCTTTATGTCATATATACATCTTCTATACTTCAATATATACATTTAAGTATAAAATTTCTAATGAATACACTAACCTTGGATACTTTCTAAGTTTATTTATCCTTACTTATACAATATTATAATCACATCATATATTTAATTTTCAAAGAGAATTAAACAGTAATAATTGTTGAATTCGCTACAGATTGACACGTGACATTTAAAATTTATGTACTATTTGTGTTAAACCACGTCAACTAAATTAAAGAAAGTTTAAAAATTACACCGTTTTGAAATAAGAAAAATTTAAAAACTGTATTATTTTGAATTAAGAAAAATTCATCATACTCTAACGTTTAACGTTGTTCTCTCTCCCTCATCTTTTCCAAAAAAATATCCTCCCTCTCCTCTTTATTCTTATCTTAAATAAGCCTGATGGTCTCTAATTCTCTTTTAACCTCATGTTCTCTTTCATCTTTTCTATATATAGAACTTTTAGTAATATTTTCCTAACTCCATCAATATCCATGCTTATATATATATATCATTTTCCAATCATTACTATTGCTGTAAAAGTTGTATGTGTGGCAATCCTTAAATGATCGGACAAAGTATCACTTATTAATTAAACCTCTATTTGAGGTTTGTTTATTCACAAATGGTCGCGCTTTGATTGGGAATAGGAAAGTGATTTCCAGCTTCGTTAGGGGATGACCATTGACCCAGCATCACCTATTATAATCAAATCAATGCATTAGCCGGCAAATATTATCCTAAACAAATTCATAAATGAATAGACTCGAGGACCCACCATGATGAACAAAACCATATACTGTAGAGATAGTGACTTTAAGAATAGCTTCAAAATGATATTCTGTTGTTATTATTTTATTTAGATGTTATATAAAATAATAATGGTTTGTGTGTGAATTCATGGATGAATAATAAATTTAATCACGCCAATATTAAATGTAAACTTAGTTGCCCGTGAAATTAAAATTGAAATTGAGGTGTGGACATGAGGTTTGTTTATTCACAAGTTGCCGCGCGCATTGATGGGTAATAGGAAAGTGATTTCCAGCTTTGAGCATTGACCCAGCATCACCTACTCTACCAGAAAGTAAAATTAAATCAATGTATTAGCCACTAAATAATTGTTCTAAATAAACTCACATGTGAATACATTTGAGGATGAGGTGTGGTGGCCCCACCCTATTGATTATAGATTGATAAAAATAAGAAATAAATAAATAATATGAAGAGAACCATTTCTATATAAATAACTACCTTGAGAAGACAAACCACCTTATTTTTATATAAAAGTTTTTCACTTTTCACTTTTAACTTTTCACTTTTATTTTCTTATCCATCTTTTGGTGAAAAGTGCTTATCACCATTTTGGTCGTTATTAGCCCAAATCTATATAATTAATTAAAATGTAATCTATTATAGAAGGAAGAATAAATGAGTAAAGAATCTTGGATATTAATCAACAGGGAAGATAATATTTAATTTTTAATCACTTTATATTATGGTATTTGAGAAACTCTAACCTTTACCGATGAATTACTGAACTTCTTTGATAATTTCTATAAATTCTCCAAATAACACTCGTTTAATACTTTCAATTCACTTCACTTCTCTACCTTTTAACTCATTTATATTTGGTCCCCCAACAATCATCACACAAACTAATACAAAATAAAAGTTGAAAGTAAAATTAAGCGGATGTTATTGAAGCCACTATTTGAAGAAATAAATCAAAAGTGACTTTTGATTTCATAAATAATTGAACAGCTGAATACATTCAGCGTGTTTGGCAGATGCAGTCGTTCTTTTAGTGGTATGTATCACATTCAGTAACTCTATTATTTTTAATTTTAAGAAATTTTCATGCAATTAACAAGTTTGTTAGATTGGGTAATTTTATCAAGGCTATGCAATATTTCAATGATTCCAATTTGTTTAAAACTTTATCGAGTTCATGACAACAAGTTACAACGATTTTTTTGACTTTTTCAAGTCTGTTTGACAGATATGTTTTTGTAGAAGGTATTTGGATTCACTCATCTCCTAAAGATGCAAATTGTGGCCAAATTTATTTTGTAATAAATAATTTTTATTTTATTTTTTATTTTTTTATTTATTTTGCAACATACACAATTTCATAGCCAATAGTCTCCATTTCTCTATAATTGTCTTTGTAGCTAAACCTGTTATTTATTGGTACAAACATATTTTTTAGTTCTTTTTGTGGTAATAACTAAAGTAAACCTCTAATATTCATCCCAATGGGTTTTTTAGTGTCATAACCGGGGGTGGACTCTAGGAAATTACATTTTTGGACGCAAAAAATGACAAACAGTAGAGAGAGGAGGAATACATGCACTCTGATTCTTTGCATTACTTAATTTACAATGGGTTTTTTAGTTTGTATATTAGTAGTATATAATGCGTAAATATATATATATATATATAGATATATATTACTAATATATAATGGGTGTTTAGTGTTTTCTAATATGTCTATATAGTTTGTATATTAGCACTACATAATGGGCCTTTACTAATACACACAAACTTGGCCCACTTAGAATTTTTTATTTTATCAATGTCTAGTAAAAAAAATTAGTAAAGGCCCATTATGTGTTAGTACTAGATTTTTTCTTGATCCGAGAAAAACTTTATTAAGGGGGGTGTATGGTGGTGCACTATACTCACAATAAACTTTATTAAGGTGGGTGTATGGTGGTGCACTATACTCACAATAGTGGTGGGACTAGAAAATTTTGATTGAGCAGGGTGTCTTTACATCTAATGCTCTAAAAGTATTTGGGTGGGAGTCATTAGCCGAAAGTTCGCTACATGGTTCATCTAGAAAGCTTAATGGACTTAAGCTTTGCACAGCTTGTCATTTGTCTTAAAAAAAAACAAAAAATTGAATGATGAAAAATTCACATGCATAAATGTAGTCATGAAGTCATGCTTTGGATACTCTAACTCGGAAGGGAATATTAATGAGCAGAAGTTATTGTGATGAGTAATATAAGGATAAAAGAGTAAAACACACTTGGATGCTTGCTCACTTTAAAAGAAACCTAGGGATTGATTGCTATTGAGAATATGTTGAATTGAAATTTGTGTGGAGACCATAGTATTAGTTCACGTAATTGAAGATATGGGATTGCTTGGGAATATTAATCTTTCTTATACTTGACATGATAGCTAACTTGAAGATGATGTGTATGCAATCGTTTTTTATTCCATGGAAATAATTGAGTTAGATGCAATGTGTGTACAATTTTTGATGTTTGTATCATCTCTAGAAACCCTCACGAGACTATAGCTCGTCCACTAGGATAACATAGGGGTTTAAGACCTTATCGCATATGATTAATGTAATCAAAAGTAGCTTGTGAAAGTGGAACATTTTTAGTTAGGAGTCGATTAAAGTAGCAATTTTGTGAACTCGTCTCTTTTTTTCTTTATTTTCTAGAAGACTAGCAAAAACTTGTTTGGGGTAATTTGATAAGTGCACAAAACTTGCTATTTTATACTCAATAATAAGTGATTAATTAATTAATATTTTTTATTAGATAATGTTCTTATCCCTGCTTTTCATATTTTATAGAGGGGCTGATTTCAAAATGAAAAGAACAGGGACAAAAATAGCAAAAATGTGAGATTACACAATCAGTCAAAGTCAAATTCAAAATTGACTTTTTCATCAAATCAATAAAGATCAAGCCAAATTTGAAAGTATATCAAGCTAAATTTGAAAGCAACAAGATTTTAAGAAGATTTGATATATTTTATTTTCACTTCTATAATTAGATTTTCCCTCTCCCAATCG